GTTTTTTGAAGTAAAAAGACAGATCCCTGAGTGGCCTCCTGGATTTTGATTTTTATAGTCCTTATGAAGAGGACAAAGTAGAGATGTTGGCCCCACTCCCATGGATGCTTGCTGCTGAGTTATAGGAGAAGATGGGTGTGCTTGCTGCTGTGTTCTAGGAGAAGATGAGTGCCCACGTTCTCACGCATAGAAGCATTTTGAGATGGTGGGGTTCAATTGGGGCCTACAAAAATAATTATATATAAATTAATAATAATAATAATACTAGAAATAATAATAAGTAATTATTATAATACTAGTAATAACAATATAAAAAAAATTAAATTCGATCAAAAACGGATGTCTACATACATATAATGGGATTCTCAAAAATCATACCGTAAATGTTAGGGACGGAATGGATAATATAAAACCGTCCTCGCGCTGTCCGTTGCCACCCCTGGAGATGGGTTTGTCTGAGATCAAGGGGTTGAGAAGGAGAGAGATTTTTTTGGCTTTTGGTTACTTTCGTTTCAAAGTCAATGAACATTTGGTTTCATTTAATTTCGAGTTTATTATTACCTCTTTTTCTCTCGTTAAAACTAATAAACATTTGTCAAATGTCAATAATGGAATTTAAACTGTAAATTCAACTTGGAACATTCATTACAAGGTTGATTATATCATAATTGATCGTTATCAGAAGAGAAAAAAAAACATGAAAGAGTGGGTGTTTATCAAAGCTGAAAAGCTTGTTTGACCACAACCATTCTTATCTAGAAAAGGCCAGAAGAAAGCTGCATCAACACGAAAACAGATTACGTCGAAAGATTGAGTCAACTCATTGGTTGGACACGAGTTTAAATCCCATTGGTGATGAGGCTACCGCAGTTGCTGAGTTCAACCACGTCATCACTCAGCGTCTTAATTTTTGCAGTATAAATAAAATATATAAAATCTGAAGAAGTATAATATAATAAAAAAGTATAACATTTTAAATTACATACAATCTAAAATATAATATTTTTTCTGCAATTTAAAATGTGATTTTTAATAATATTTTTTATTATCTTTTTAAATTACAATAAAAATTATAAAAATATCACATTTTAAATTAATCTAATCTAAAATATTATATTTTTTAATCAAATCCGTTTCTTCTATTTTTTTAAATTAAATTGTTTTATTTATATTTGGGTATACTACGTCAACGGTCACTAATATTTATGTAATTGTTTGTTTTCACCATTAATGTTTAAAAAACTACAAATCGATCACTAATATTATCGTTTGTTACAAAATGATCACTTATAGTTAACCTCCGTTAACAAATCGTTTCTACAATAACGAAATATTGACTTAGCACGTTAAACCAGCTGACTCAACATATTTGACTAACCGTTTGACTCCTCTTCTTCTTCACAAATGCTTTCACATCTCTCTGCAACAATCTCAATCTTGTAACAATATATTCCTTGTGGATGATCCACCAAGCACCCAGTTTTCCAGCTCTTGGAGAACATGCAACTCACCACAATATCAAGAACAACAAAAACAGAGTACAAATAAGCAACCAAAACCCCTTCCAAAGCTAATAAAAACCCACCATAATCACCTTCGCTACGATAGCCATAATCCCCCACAACAACCCTAATTCTCCATTCTAGAATAAACCAAAGCCAAGTTACAAATCACAATCACATTTGCAAGAATCATCGAATATATGATAGCACCGACAGCCGACATGAAGGTGAGCCAATTGGGAGACAAAGAGAACCCCAGCCAATTAATAAAATGGTACTCGAAGAATAAAAGAGAGAAAGTCGTTGAATTTGCAGCCAAAAGTAGAAAGAAATTGTATACGAAAGTGGAAAACAGGGGACTGTAAAGAGATAAAATTGAAGAGAATGACATTGTAAAGATAATGAAGGCTTTGGATAACAGAAAGAAGGAAAGGGTGAAAGGGAGAGTGAATATCGATGAAGAAACGATATGAAAAATCTTGTGACCGAGGACATTGAAGAAGTTGGACGATGACGGTAACTCGACTGCCATGAAAATGACTTTCAGGTGGTTGTGGATAGCCGGGAAGATAGGGGAAAGGAGGATGGAAAGTGCATAAGGGAAAGCGAGGACAGCGACGATTGTGGTGAAATAATGATAGTTTTGAAGGAAAGTGTAGATTGATCTTCTCATGATGGCGTGTCTCTTTCGAGTTCTTGAGCTATCTTCTATGGCGGATTCACAAAGGAAGAAGAAGTAGAAGAAGAAGAGTCAAATGATTGATCAAATATGTTGAGTCAACTGATTTAATACATCACGTAAGTATTTCGTTAGTGCAGTAGCGATTTATTAATGGTGATTAACGACGAGTGATCATTTTATAATAAACGATAACAATAATGATTGATTTTCTCATGATGGTGTGGCTCTTCCGAGTTCTTGAACTATCTTCCATGACTATTCATAAAGAGAATAAGAAGTAGAAGAATAAGAATAAGAAAAGTCAAACGATTGGTCAAATATGTTGAGTCAACTAATTTAATGTGTCACGTCAGTATTTTGTTAGTGCATTAACAATTTGTTAATGGCGGTTAACGAGTGATCATTTTGTAACAAACGATAATATTAGTAATTGATTTGTGACTTTTCAAACATCAATAGTCAAAACAAATATTTATCTAAACATCAATGACCATTGCGTAGTTTACCCTTTATATTTTCCCGTTTTCGGAAATGATTTTAACCGAGAAAGAAACAATTCTCCGTCCCGCTGGTGGCACCGTCTCACGCTTCACCCAACGTCTGTTGCTAGCAGGCCGACATCTCAGAATATATTTGCCATCTATTAATTTTGTGTTCATTTTTCATATAATAATTTTAAATTTATTTTATTTAAAATTATATAATAAAAATAAAAATATCATCATAATAATATATATTATACTTTTCACTAAATACAATTCAATAATTTTCAATTAAAGTAAAATGGTGGTTGGTTTGCAATTATAGCCTTGTAGAATATCCTAAATTAATCTACGAGGATAGAGATGTAAATGACATGAGACAAAAAATAAGGGAATGTTTGTTTATTTCAGAATGATTAAGCATTGAATGATTTAAATGCATAATGATTCAGAGGCTCTGTATAAATTAGCTCTGAATGTGACATGTTGTTTGATAATGGCTCTGAATTATTCAGAATGTACTTCTGTGCTGAATCATTCAGAATGTATTTCTGTGCTGAATCATTCATCATTGTTTTGTTGAATCAATCAACACTGAGTCATTCAGAGGTACGAAACAAACGCGCTGAATGGTTTCATTAGGAGGCAAACAAACAACTCCTAAGATACTTAATTTTGAGTTGGTCGAAACTTAATATATATTCAATTTAAACAAATTCAATTTGAATTTTTAATGAGTCGAAGTGAATTATTTGATATTTGAATTTAAAAGCTTGTGAGTAATACGAAAAAATAATATATTAAAATTTTAAATTTTTAAAAATTAAATTATTAACAATATTAACGTTTATATGTTGTCTTTTTAAATAAAATATAAGATTTTTATGTACTTAAGGCTCATATTTAAACTCGAATTCGAGCTTCAAACGAGTTAAATTTGAGATGTTTCAATTTCAAAAAATTTCAAACTCGAATGGATTTTTAATTTTTAATTTAAGTCTAATTTTATAATTTTAAATTCATAAACTTTCAAATTAAATATAACAATAGTCAAACTAGGTTACTTTTTATATTATTACCCTAAAATCGATTAATATACATTTTGATTTCTGACTAGATATCACGATTCAAATATTTATTTAGAATTTTTGTAATTTAACATTTACATTTTTTGTATAATTTTATATTTAAGTTTTTTTTACCAATTAAGTATTTTGAAAAGCATAAATTTTTAATTCAAACGGTAATAAACATTATTTCCAAATAACCAAATATATATTTTTTATCAAAAATAAAATTTTTAAAAAAAAGAGAAAATAATTGTATGTTTTTTTCCATATAAACAAAACCTTTTTAAAGGTATATGTTTCCAAATTTTCTAGATCACAATACAAGTCGGAAAAAAAACCTAGATAGATATGAGTTAGAAAGATAATAATCTATAGATAATGAATATGTTAAAAATTTGCGAAACGATGTATGAAACAAACGAAAAACGAGAATTGAAAATTTCTCCCATATATATGGGGTTAACTCAAACCCTAGGTTTTGACGGAGACGGTGACGTGAATGATATTGATTATGAAAGTGAAGGTGATTATCGATTGATAGATGTCATACGGATCATCCTAATTATAATTAACTAGATAAACTCAATAATCAGCTCTAACCAGCCTTTCTAATCTCAATGAAAAGATAAATCGAAGTATGAAGATCTCAATCTTGCAAAAATGTACTCAATGTTGTATTATTAATGAAAGAAATCAACACAAATCCATGTTTTTTCCAAGTTGACCAATAAAAGTTGTTAAAAAATAATGGGTAAATAACTTTCACAAGTCCCATGATGTCTTCTTTCCCCTTAAGAGTCCAATAGATTTTTATTGTATCAGCCACCACCAACGTTTTTGCATACACAGAGACCTTTGAACGCATACAAAAGCCAGTCAAAATAAGCAAATTTCCCTTTTCCTAATGTGAGGCAGCAGTCGGGCCACCTATTCCATTACAAAACAAAACTAGCCAATTTGCACGTTGTATAAAGATAACATTAACATGACACGTGTATATCAAGCCGTCCATCAAAATTTCAAAGGGAAGACAGGTCCACTTGGATATTCAACCTAAGGAATCGAAAGAGTCTTCTAAATAAATACAAGTGGAGAAATTTGCACGCCTTTGCCCGTCGGCTTCCTTCCATGAAGAAATCAAGTCTTCATTATTCTCACCGTATATATAAACCCTTAAACCCATCCCCAAAAGCAGGTGTACAAGGGCCTTTGGGGTGAAGGATTAGCAGTTTTTGTATCAGGAAAAAAAGGGTTTGGTTCCAATTTCCAAGTTCAGAGTATGGAGGAAATGAAGATCAGCAGCAGCAGCCGCCATGAAAACAATTCGGTTACAAGAGACGATGATGGATATAAAGGTGTGCCGATTCATAGCCAAGTGATGAAGATAAAGCAAGAGTTCGAGAAGATCAAGCATCCATCGCTGCAGCAGCCGGATATGAGACGGGTGGCTCGAGAGATCAGCAGGCAAAGGTCCCGGTCCCGGTCCCCTCTGGGGTTAGCTGAACGACCCATATCTGTTGGGAATTCGTAGAAATTGTCACCTGAAGAAGATGAGAAATGGTTGCTTTCTGTATCTTTGTTCTATCTGTTGTACCCTTTCTCTTTCTTATCTTCTTCTTCCCTGTTCATAATACTTTTTCTTACAGTACGACTTTTTTGTTAGATTAAATCAACTTCCTCTGTTTTCTTGACCTCTTTGGTTGTAGCAAAAAATCAGGATTTAAATTACGGCTATGACCGTGTTTTCACTATTGTTGTGTTTATCACGATTATTGATATAATTAAATCTATCGTGATAGATTGTTATTGGTGTGATTTTGTTGTACACCACTACTTTCCACGATAACGTTCTTGGATGCCGTCGTGACATCACTATCTGTTTGCTATTTGAATTTTTTACTGTAACTCCTAAAATAATTAATATATATTTTATAAATAAATCAACTAATTTTATTAATAAATAAGAAAAATCCAAAATTTATGATAAAAATCTGTAAATTTAATACATAATTTAGATATTCTTCTAAAATAGTTAAGAAATTAATCAAGATCATATTAGGACCATCTAAGAAAAAAATGAAAATCTCATTTAGAGAAACTCGAACAACAGGTAGATACGGATAAAATTGACTGTTACGGCAAACAAATCACAATAAAGGATTTAAACTACTGAAAGATCAACGACAAAATGCAAATCAGAGCCAAACATTACGAGATAATTATTTGTGATTGCAAGTTGCCTATTAATAAATGAGCACCATCTTAATCAGCCATGACAATGTTAAATTAAACCTTGTAAGAAAATAAAAAAAAAGCGTTCTAAAAGGAAGAGAAAAAACGTGCTATGAAAGTTAAAAAAGGGTGTTATGAAAGTAGAGAAATTTGAATATTAAAGATAGAGTTATTCTAAAATAAAAAAATAAAAATATAAAATAAAAATATATATGGACCAACACGAAGGCTAGTGCTAGGGGTGTTCATTTTTCGGTTTTAACAGAATTAACCGATCGAACCGAATTAGTTCAGTTAATTCGGTCGACCACCGAATTAGTTCGGTCGGGGAACGGTTAATAAATTTTTTAGAATTCAGTTAATGATTAATTCGGTTCGAAATCGGTTAATTAACATAATTAACTGAAATTAAATTTTAAATATTAAATATATTATATATAACATATGGACTCAGCCCAAACTATTTAAAACCCAATTAATAATTTAATATCCAATAACTTTTAAACCTAAATAAATATTAATTAATTAAAAATCTATATAAAATTTTTATTTTATAATTATATATTATTTAAATTAATTGTAAATTGTTTTTTGAATTAAAAAATATTCATTTTTTATATAAATTATAAAATTTTAAAAACTTTCGGTTAATTCAAAAATTAACCGAAATTTATTCGTTCGGTTAATATTTTTAAAAAAAAGTTCGATTCGATTGGATTAACAGTTAAAGGAAAAAAAATTCGATTAATTCGATTAATAGTAATTCGATTCAATCAGCTACCGTTTTAACTGAATGAACACCTCTAGCTAGTGCCACCGCATGCTAATGAAAGAGAAAAGAGACACGGGCAAGAAGAAAAGAAAGCAAATAGCTGGGGCTAATTATGAAATGATTATATCAGAATAAAATTCTAAAATGATTAATATCTCTTTTAAGAAAACATTGCCTGCAAAGATAAACGGATAACGAGGAGAACACCACCATAGATATGATATAATGATATAATCAGCAGAATAGCTATTTAGCCTTAATTAAAATATAAGGGTTTAAATTATATTTATTATTTATTTTAGGTGTGTAGAATTTCTTTTATCAAAATAGTATTTTTAACATTTTCTTTGATATTATTTAAAGTGGGACCATTAATGATATTAAAAAAAGAATATCTCAATCATTTAAAACATGACATATGATTCACGAACGAAGTTACTTCGATAGTAAAATAGATAATTATTATGTCTAAAGGTCGTTTGTTCGAACATAAGTGATTGTAAGATATTTAAGGGTTCATTGTTAAATAAAATTTTAAAAATTACTTTTTAGATTTTATAAATGCACTTTAGGTTAAATAAAATCTACGGTGCATTTAATTTTTTTTAGATTTGATTAAAATTATAAATGAACCCTAGGTTAAATAAAAAGAAATAAAAAATGACACGTGGTACATTTATAACTTTTTAGATTTTATTTAAAATTTTAGAAATTAATTTTGTAAGTCTCAAATTTTACAAAATCTAAAAAAAATCTAAATTCTTAAATCTTTTGTGCTCAAACCTTCAGTCGCCTCTTTCCTTTATCACTACCGACAACGAGTTTTTGAGAGGGGACGAAGAGCGATTGGAGAAGGAAAGGATAAGAGACATGATTACTGACAAGCTCATTTACTCTGCTAGTTAAATCTATCATGTTAGAGCAAGAGCTACTGATCATGTGAATTGACAAATAACTATCATTATAGTCCAAACACCAACACTAAGAATTCATGTATAAACTACCTTGCAAGGTTGGAAAAAAGGGATTCTCTCTATCTGGATATTACTTGATTGTTGATCATCTTCTTCAACTCGTTTATTCTATTTTTCTTTCTCGTTATTTAATATTTAAATTTATCATTTTATTGATCGATAAAATTGAAAATAATAATGTAAATTTTTAAACATGTATGAAAAAGGGGTTAACTACATGGTCACTTTCGTTTTTATTTAATTAAGATGTGGTCACCCCAAGTTAATTGTCGTTAACAACAGTTAAATATTTTTGATATAATCACACATTTTGCCCTTGTTATTTACATATTCTCTCAATTTAATCATACTTTTAATAAATTAAAATAAATTTAATCCTTCAATCGAATGAAGCCACATGTCATGCCAGTAAGGTTGTTCAAAAATACTCGACCCGATTGAGCTGACCTGCCGACACGCTAACCTAGTTAAAAAATAAGGTATTTATAATAAAAATACTAGATTTTCCGGGTCGGGTACTCGGTCGGGTTTCTGGGTCGAGCATGAGTCACAAAATGTTAGTTAATTGGGTACCCTCCGACACGTTACCTGATTTATTATATATTTTTTATTTTTTAATTATATTTTATATTAAATTTTTATTCATAATCCTCAAATTATTTCACTCTAACATTCTAAAATATAAATTTCTTAAATTTTGACATCAAAACGTTCTAAATTCTTAATTTCTTAAATTATTTCACGTTAACATTGTAAAATATTTTTTAAAATATTTCTTTTAACTTCAAAACATTTGAAATTTAATTATACATCTTTATTTTAAATTTTAATAAATTTTATTTCAATTATGTAATTTGAATTTTTAAACTTTATGTGTGGATTATATATATTATAGACTTTTAAATTTTAAAATTTAAAATTTTTATATAATTTTTTAAAAAATAATATAATTTAAATAAAAAAATTATGAATTGGGTACCCGTGATCTGAATTATATATCATATAATTTTATATATATTAACTAAAAATATTTTTATATCAAATTATTAAATATATTTTATTATTAACTTAATTTAAAAATATTTTATTTTTATTTTAATTGAAAAATATATAATTTATTTTAATTTATTAAAAGTATGACTAAATTGAGAGAATATGTAAATAACAGGGATCAAATGTGTTAATATATCAAAATATTTAGCTGATGTTAAAGACAGCTCGAGGTGACCATATCTTAAATAAATAAAAACAAAAGTCACCATATCTTATGTTTTTTTGAAATTAATGACAAAAAATGGACAAAACACAAAGATAAGTTATTATGCATGTAGTTAACCCAAAATAAAAATTTGCGAAAAATGATATCCTCTTTATCCCTGATAATATATTGTTCTCTATAAATATTGTTCTTGAACAAATTCATCTAAAACCATTTTAATGATAAAAGATATTATCTTTTATAAATTTTATGAGCTTCAATAATTGTATTTACAAAATGTGATATATTATCGATAATTAAAAATATTTAATTTAACTTCAAAATATTTGAAATTTAATTATACTTCTTTATTTTAAATTTTAATAAATTTTATTTCAATTATGTAATTTGAATTTTTAAACTTTATGTATAGATTAGATATATTATACTTTTAAATTTTAAATTTTAGAATTTTTTATATAATTTTTTTAAAATAATATAATTTAAATAAAAAATAAAAAATTATGAACCAGGTACCTGTGATATGAATTATATATCATATAATTTTATATATATTAACTAAAAATATTTTTATATCAATTTATTAAATATATTTTATTATTGACTTAAATTAAAAATATTTTTTATTTTAATTTAAAAAATATATAATTTATTTTAATTTATTAAAAGTATAACTAAATTGAGATAATATATAAATATCAGGGACTAAATGTGTGAATATATTAAAATATTTAACTGATTTTAACGTCAGTTAGCTCGAGGTAGCCATATCTTAATTAAATAAAAATAAAAGTGACCATATATTATGTTTTTTGAAATTAGTAATAAAAAATGGACAAAACACAAAGATAAATTATCATGCATGTAGTTAACGCAAAATAAAAATTTGCGAAAAATGATACCCTGTTTATCCCAGATAAAAATATTATTTTTGAACGAATTCATCGAATAATTTTAATGATAAAAGATATTATCTTTTATAAATTTTATGAGTTTCAATAATTGTATTTATAAAACGTAATATATTATCGATAATTAAAAATATTTAATTAAATATTTATTTTATAACCAGGAGACTATTAAAAAATTATTGCAATGATTTTATATTTTAAAGAAAAAAAGTTTGGGATGTCAGGTACGATAACCTTAATATATGGTTAAGAAAAAATATTATTGAAAATGTTAATATTTTTTAATATTTTCGGTAAAACGTTATTTTTTCTTATGAAAATGTTAATATTGGGCGCTATAAAAAATGTTTAACATTTCCGGTAAAACATTACTTAAAACATTATTTTTTCTACTGAAAATGTTAATATTGAGTTCTACCGAAAATTAATTAACGAAATTAACATTTTTGATAAAATATTTTTTTTAACTGACCTTATTCTCCTATGTAATGAATTAAAGGATTTCGATAAAATATTTATAATATCGTTTTATCAAAAATATTAATATTTATAGTAAAACTTTTATTTTGTCGTATATCAAGACTGCAATACAACAGAACTAGCGTGTCTTCACCCTTTTGCTTTCTTTACTGTCACTAACCTTTCTACCTTACCCTTTTGATTTCATGTAAAAAACGAATTTAGCTACGGTTGTATTTCAAAAAAAGAAAACCTTGGGGATCTTATTTCCCAATCCAATCACATTCTCCCCCTTTCTGATTCTAGGGTTTTTACCATGCCGTGGGTGGAGGAGATTGTACTGCGTGATGTCACCAATGCGGGACTCGTCGTCAGCGACCGTATTGGCCGTGAAGTGGCGTCCCAGTTGGACCTCGAGAAAGCTTTGGAAGCTTCCAGATATGCCAGTCATCCCTACTCCACTCACCCCAGAGAGGTAATTTTTTTAACCAATTTACCCCCTAAAAACCAAGTCTTTAGTATTTATCTCTGCTATTCAGTCAAAAATTGATGGTCAATTTGGGACTTTGATTCCATTCACTTGTCTGTGTGATTTTTTTCTTGTTTTCTGTCCCAATATAATATGAAGTTGTATCCAATGCTGGCAAGGGCATACGTGCAGTCTAGGTGTTTTGACCCCTGTATTGCCTGACGCTCAATGTGCAAAAATGCATTTGCCCGAGTAAGTAAGGTACATATACATAAATAATATCAAAGAAAATATGTTTATTATATCTAATAAAATAGGGTTTAATAAAATTCATTTAATATTTTGAAAAGATTGCTTCAAGTCTAATTCATTCCCTAATCTATTTCAAAAAAAAAAAAGTTCTGGCTTTTGGGACCAAAGGCAAAGGAAAATGCTTTTGTTATGAAGGAGAAAATAAGGGCAAGGCTTTCTTTTTTAACACTAAATCAGAGTAGTACTTGCTTTATTTTCTACTTTCATACCAGCATTTGTCCTCTGTTTCATAAATAAAAAATGAGCAGAGTTCAAAGCAAGAGAAGGAGAGTAGAAATTGAGAAAAGAAAAAGAAAAGAAAATCGAGAGCCAACAAAAAAGAAGTATGAAACATGATAAAATACATTTTCTAGAAGCTGTTTTATTGAAGATTTTTTTTACCCTGATAAAGTTTTGGTGGCTGTGAATTTATTTCTTTTTTTAAGGAAAACCTTTTGATAGAATATAATGCCTTTTTCTATCTATTATGAGGATGTTGGTCCTTTTTTCTTTAAATTTTATAATAAAAAATTATAAAAGAAAATTAAAAAGAGAAACCCGTTAGGCTTTTTACTCAAGCACCCCATTTTTAGCGAGGAAAATTGTGAGACTTTTTATACTTCTCTTACCAGACTTGCTTGTTATCAGTTGATTCTTGTAGGAGTATGCTGCTCTGGAGGGGGGGGGGGGTGATAAAGCTGATCCTTATGCAGAAGTTGCACTGCAGTCTTTGCCAGAGTATACAATACCTTCTGATGGAGTTACAATGACTTGTATCACATGTACTGATAAGGGTCGTGTTTTCATGGCTGGCCGAGATGGCCACATCTATGAGCTGCATTACACGACTAGTTCAGGCTGGCATAAGCGTTGCCGTAAAGTTTGCCTCACTGCAGTTGTAGGGAGTGTTATTTCAAGGTGTGTTCTGCTACTTAAATTTTTTTGGCTCGTGTGGCCATCTTGCTTTTTCTATAATTTCACCTACGCATTTAGAAGTTCTCTATCTACATGATTTGCCCCCTTCTGATTATAAAATTGTGAGATAACCTAACAATGAGGACCTTGAGTACTTCTCGTTTGGCAAGTGTTTAAATACGCTTTCAAAAATAGAGATCTTTGTTGGTTTTCAGGTGGGTTATACCAAAGGCAGATTCTATATGCAAGAACTGAAGATATGAAAATTCAGGTTTTTGTTATGGGGCCTAGTGGACACAGTCCATTGAAAAAAGTGGCTGAAGAAAAGAATTTGTTAAATCAGAAAGATGCACATTATGGAGGTAGACAAACAAAAGCACCAAGAGGATCAAAATCGATCAGCAAAATCATCTTTTGTTTCAATTTCTCCTTTTTTTTATAGAAGTTGGAGGTCTCATTAAAAACTCCCTTCGTATTCGCTCACATACTAAAAGTATGTTAACGAACATTGGAAGGAAGAAAAGAGTACCTCAAATTTTATTGATAATAATATCCGATACAAAAGACACCAAGGAATATCCTCTCATTGTGATGTACACCATTACAATAAACACCTTAACCTCATATAACCTCATCCAAAGCCACAATAAATCACCTTACTTCTAATTACACCACCAGCAGTAGGAATAAAACAGCGCAACAAAACCTAATACAAATTAAAAGCAACACCTACAACCATATAGACTAAAACAAAACCACAATTGAAGAGACAAGATCTAATGAGACTCGTCTTCTTTAGGAGCTCAAGCGTTTGGTTTGAATGAAGGCTCTATCTCATGCACCATGACCTTGAAGAAGTTGTCACCAACCTTCAATTCCACCATCGCATCAATTCTCTCATCAGCCTTTGTGAGGACTTGAATTTTTGCCCGATCAAAGGATGATGGAGACTTACAACTTTTGTTGATAGCTAGTAATAAACCCCACTTATCAGCAATGTTCTTGAAAGTATCCCAATTCCATGCGTGAAAATGAACACCCTCGCAAACTAACCATACTCGACGACACTCCATTACCAAACTCTCTGACCAAGCTTCGACTATGGAGAACCACTCTGCGACTTCACACTTCTCAATGAAGCATTGTCTTCGAAAATCATTAAAATCGCATTACCAGCAGCTCTCATTAAGGTGAAGCCAGTGAGGCCCTTTATCCACGCTAGAATCAAAGTGGCTGCATCTTGTTGCTATTTTATTTTATCAGATGGTAGAAGAATGTACCTTTCCACCTTCTTATCTAATGGAAGTAACAGTACTGTCGGAGGTTTGGGTGGATTTAACAATCATCACCATAGGCCAAGCTGTTTAAAAATTGTAACCACTAGGCCTTCGTCTCTTTTTGGTGTCAGTGGTGGACTTACCTTTGGCGAAATGTCATTGGCCAGTAGGACTCAGACTGAGGATCTTTCACTGAAGGTTGAAACAACATATTTTTCTGCTGGAACTCTTGTTCTTTCTGATTAGTCACCACCAACCATGTCTTCACTTCTCATTGTGAGCAGAGATTCAAGCTCACAGTAATCTCTGTCAGTAATTTAGGAGCAAGTGTTCGGAGTTCCCGAGCGTTACAAGAATCTGCATCTTCCTTGCCCGTTGAAGGGCGAATGCTCTTTGTGGCAGATGTTCCTCCCTTACCAGATACAACTGCCACTGTCTTATCACTGTATTCAGAGCTTGAATTTTGTGGATTTGAAAGCTCAGTTGAGTCCTGTGAAAGGGCATCCGGAAAGTTGTGGGCTAGAGGTGACCTTTTCAACTCAACATATACTACCAAGGAGGAGAATTGTTGTTTTCAGTACCATGGGCATGATGGAAGTAGTTTTCAATTGAACTATTGATATTCTGAGAAAATTGTTGGAGTCGAACTCTCCAAGACCCATATTAGAGGATTTCTTTAATCGTTTTGGTGTTGGTGAAGCAGCTGCTGTGTGTTTGATGCTAGCTGCAAAGGTAGTTCATTTTGAAAATCTTATAAGCAATGTTGTTGCTGAAAAGGCAGCTGAAGATGGGTAGATACATTGTTAAGTGAAGATGGAGTCCCTTTGGCTTATTGCTTGGTCGAGTTGGTTGGTTTACCGCTTCTTAGCTGGAGTGTACCTTTCTTGGAGAAGCTCGGAGGTAAGTGGGGAAAGGTTGTTACTATACTGGAGGAAACAAGAAATAGAGATGACCTCTCTTTGGCTAGAATGCTGTTAAGGGTTGCAAGTCCTTTTGATGTACAAGAATCTGTTATTATAGGATCTTATAGAAGATCGTTTAAAGTGAAAATTAATGTGGGATCTAGCTCTAAATCTATCTCTGAAGCTTTTGGAGACATGAGGTAGAATTTCTTATATGGCAGATGCAGTGACAATGTGTCAAAGGGAGATGATGGTGGAAACACAGAGAAGGAAGAAGACAATAGGGTGAACTCAGCAGAAGGATTCAGGTCAAAGGTTGACACGTGGCTCCAGAATAGTCAAGATAGGGGGATATCAGCTGAAGGATTTTGGTCAAAGTTGGACATGTGCGTATACAAAAGTCTAGATAGTGGGATGATGGTGGGTAGTGGGGAACACTCTCTGGAAAAACATTCTCTCACACAACCCGACATTAATGGAATGTCAGACAAATTTGAATTTGGTTCAAGTCCTAATAGGGAATATGCGGGTATTGGGCTGAGAGAGGTAGTGGATCAGAGTAGTTCAGCAGCCCATTCAGACTCTAATTGGGAGTCTTATTCCCCAGTTACTAAATTAATTTCAGGGCCTGCTGTGAAATTAAACTGGGTGGAGGCTCTAGGAGGGCTACAGCAAACTGTTTTGGTGGATACAAACATGCAGAATTTGGTTACTGCTTTGCCCAGTTTCAAATCTAATTCGATTGTTGGTGGGTCCAAGGATAGATTACAGTCTCAGTCTGAAGGGATTTCAAAAAAGCCAAATGAGGATCTGTTAGAGGAAGTAGTTGCCGTGGATAAGGAAGCTAGTAGTGGGGAAGAAACAGAAGTGAGTCAGGCAAGAGGCAGATCGTTGTTCCCGCATAGAAGAACACTTTATTCCAAAAGTGTGCCCTTAGAGAGAAGGAGAATGGCCAGCTATAGAAGATTTTATAGCAGATCTAGGGTGAGAAATTACTGGTTTGAGAATGAACACAAAGGAATTTCTGTTAGAAAGGATGATGTTCTGCAGCTCACTTCAGAAAATATGGGAGAGGATGTGTCAGTAGTTCCTATCTCTGTTGTAGGGTCAGGAAGATCTAAAAGAAGGGAGAGAAGAGTTAATCAAATCTCTTCTGAAGGTAACATTAAGAGGGTTGCTTCAGAAAATAGGGGAATTGAACAGGATGTACATATCATTGGTTCTGCTAATGATCAGAATAAATCTTTGGTTCCTATTTTTTGTAAGAATCTTTCTGAGGACCGGTCTATTCTCCCTCCTGTTTCAAAGATTGGTAGGAAATACAGAAGGGAGAGGAGAGTTTTAACTAGGGAAGCTGTGGACTTGTTAACGTGATTACTGTTTTTTCTCCTCAGTTTTCGAATTTGATGGAGGAAGCTTTGGCAACTTGGGAAGTTTGTCAGTTGTTAGGCATTTCCTTCAAGGAGGGGAAGGAGACTTTCATTGAAAAAATATTAAGTCTTGAGCATGGATCGGAGGTAGTTAGGGAAGGTTGATTTCTCAGGGAAGGTTGATTTCTTGGGGAAGTTATGAGTATTTTTTCGATTTATTATGATGAAGTTAAAGCTTGTTATTGTGACTTGGAATGTCAGAGGTTTGGGTAGAAAAGAGAAGCAAAGGGCGGTGCAGAGAGTTGTGTCTACTCGTTGCCCCCAATTTTTGTGGCTGCAGGAAACTAAATTGGAGTTGTTTCAGAAATCTGTTATCAAAAGATGTGGTTTATTCAACTTGCAAGGGTTTATTGAATCCCCTTCGGTTGGTGCTTCCAGGGGATTACTCTGTTGCTAGAATGACAATATTTTCGAGTTAGAAAATCAGTTTATATTCAGTAGATTCATTGCTATTACTAGGAGGTTTCGTGCCAATAATTTCAGATGTAGTTTTATTAATGTCTATGGTCCTTCTATCGAGGAGGAGAAAGGAGGCTTTTTTGAAGAGCTAGGCTTGTTCATTGGAGGCCTTAGTGATCCTATCTGTGTTGGAGGGGACCTTAATGTTTATCTTCATGAGGATTAAAAGATGGGTAGAGCTCAAAACAGGAATTCAGTTGAGATTTTTAGTCAATTTCTGCTCTTCACTGGTTTAATCGATTTGCCATTGAATGGTGGCCGATTTACTTGGTGTAATAACCAAGATTCCCAACCTACGTTAGATTGGACAGATTTTTGGTTGATAATCAATTCTTGGTTGCATTTCCAGATTTAGCTCAATATCTTTTGCCAAGGTCTATCTCTTACCATAACGTTGTATTGCTTGAAAATGGTGGGGTTAATTGGGGTAAGAAACCTTTCAAACTTTTTAATTATTTAATGGATGAAGTTGGTTTTGAGGATTTGGTAAGTTCATCAATTCAAGATTGTAAGAGAAATCAGAGGAATGCTGGAATTTTCAGTATTCTGAAGAATATCAAAATAGTAATAAAAAATTGGGTAGGGAGGAGAGACAAGTTTCCTGGGGATTTGATTTCTGATCTTGAATTAAAGATTCAGAAGCTTGAAGTGGATGTTCATCATGATCTACTGAGTTCCAATTCCGAGATAGAATATGAGTTGAGGGTGTTGAGATCAGAATTGTGGAGGCTGTATAAGATAGAGGAGGAGATTTGGTTTCAAAAATCAAGATCGAAGTGGGTTGAAGATGGGGACAGAAACACAAGATATTTTCATACTTGTGCTTCTATTAGGAGGAAAAGAAATGCCTTGAATGCGCTACTTGTCAATGGCAGCTTTGTTCATGACCCGAATGTGATTAAGTCAACAGTAAGAGAGCACTTTTTCAAGGCTTTCAATGATCAGTTTACTTTACAGGTGGAAGACATAGGGCTGGATTTTTCCAGTATTACTCACGAGCAGAGTTTGAGATTAGAGAAAGAATTCTCTGAGGAGGAAATTTGAGAGTCTTTAGAGTCTTGTAATGGGAATAAAGCTCCTGGACCAGATGGTCTAAATATGGCTTTCTTTAAGAGATTTTGGAATGTGCTTAAGGGAGATGTCTTGAAGTTCTTCAATAACTTCTATTTGGGGAAAGAGTGGGAACATGGTATTAATCATACCTTTATTACTCTTATCCCTAAGGTATCTAATAGTGGTGACCTTGATGATTTTAGACCCATTAGCTTAGTTGGTGGACTATATAAGATTCTTTCTAAGTGTCTTTCGAGGAGGTTGAG